AGCCCATGCACAGCAACAAAGACCCAGGGCGGCCGACAGGAAGGAAATAAAAAATTTAAAAGATCCCTACTAATTTAACAATAGCAAAGAACAACCCTAAAGAAACAAAGAGTAAGAGTCTTGAACAGGCAGGTACATCATAGAAGAGCCTATTCTAAGAAGCAGTGAAAATGAGTAACCGATAAAAAAAATAACTTTGCGGTAATTTGTTATGGCAACCCTGGGCAACTAACGTAGATGGCCAAGACATTTTGGAAACAAGTTTAGATCTGAAATTCCCTGTCATGGATCTGCTGCTGAGACCACAGCCAGAAGACTTTCAATTAGGTAAAAAATAAAATAAAATAAGTGAAAATGAATCACTAGTGGTAAAGAATCCGCCTGCCTATGCAGGAGACTCAGGTTTCAAGCCTGGGTGAGGACGATCCCCTGAAGGGGGGCATGGCAACGCACTCCAGTGTTCTTGCCTGGAGAATCCCATGGACAGTGGAGCCTGGTGGGCTACAGTCCACGGGGTCGCAAAGAGTCAGACACGACTGAGCGACTGAGCACACATACTGTTTACCCAAAGACATGAACAAGAATGTTCATAGCCACATTGTTAGTAATTACTCAGAAATGAAACCACCCAGATGTCTGATAACAAGAGGATGAGTAAATTACCATATCTTCATATGCTGAAACAGTAGCTAAGAATGAAATGAAAGCAGCACAACTATAAGCAAAACCAAATAGCAGAGGGAAAGAGACCCAGCTCAGAAGAAGACGAGTATAAAATATTAGACACTAACCAACCTATTGCATTAGAATTAGAGTAGAGGGGAGGAGATGGGCATTGGGAGGAAGCCTGCAGATCTTGCTAAGGACCCCTTTCTTGCCCTGGGGTGTGGTTACGTTCATGTGTCCATTTGTAATCATTCATCGGACTGTACATTTTGGATGTCTATGTGTGTAAGGTACACTTTCATGTATGTGTCTTAGATAGCAACGAACATTTTCTTTAAATTTTTTTATCCAATAATAATTAATTTTAAAAAACTTTAGAAAAGACCAGAAAAGCTCAGACATTCAAAAACATAACAAATTTCAAAGGATTGCAAAAAAACGTTACTATTGGAGGAGGTTACTTTACTGACAAAGGTCCATCTAGTCAAAGCTATGGTTTTTCCAGTGGTCATGTACGGATGTGAAAGCTGGACTATTAAAGAAAGCTGAGTGCTGAAGAATTGATGCTTTTGAACTGTGCTATTGAAGAAGACTCTTGAGAGTCCCTTGGACTGCAAGGAGGTCAAACCAGTCAATCCTAAAAGAAATCAGTCCTAAATATTCATTGGAAGGATACCGAAACTTATGCTCCAATATTTTGACCACCTGATGTGAAGAACTGACTCATTGGAAAAGACCCTGATGCTGGGAAAGATTGAAGGCAGGAGGAGAAGGGGATGACAGAGGAGGAGACGGTTGAATGGCATCACTGACTTGATGGACATGAGTTTGATTAAGCTCCAGGAGTTGATGATGGACAGGGAGGCCTGGCGTGCTGCAGTCCATGGGATTGCAGAGTCGGGCACGACTGAGATAAGATGAGTGGGAAATATGGGAATCAGGAAGAACACCTCTTGTACCTCCTCAAACCCGAGTCCTTTGGCTATCAGGCATCATTTTGAAAAATACAAATGTTCCCAAGAGTCATCAGCCTTTCACAGTACAGTGTGAATCCATCGTTTAATCTTCATCTCATGCCGAGCTGATGAGTATTCAGGAATGGAGCCATGTGAGTGAAAGAGAGAAAAGAGAGTGTGAATTTTAAATAGACCCAGTAGGGAAAGTTCAGGCTTAGAGGCATGATCGTTGTTAGGAGCCAGCCAAAGGGCAGCATGGAAGACCCAAGCACGTTGGGAAGGAGGAAAAAGAGATGAGCTTTTTTTTTTTTTTTTCAAAAGCTCAAAAAAGAACCCACGGGCTTCACAGCGCGCCACGCGTCCGCCCAGCTGTAAGCGTCTCAGGCTCACTCTTCTTGGCTCCCCCAACCCCATGACGGTCATTAGAGAATGGGCTTCATGCTGAGTGCACTCGTAGGTACCCACTTCTACAGATGACCAGGGTCGAGGGTGATGCCCGCCCAGCTCTGGCCATAGAGCAATGTAACCTGCAGGCTCAGCCTGGCCCCACCCTTGAGGGCCTGAGGCTGGATTATTGGAGGTGCTGGAGCCCCAGGGCTCCGTGGGTCTTGGTGGCTTCCTTGTGGCCACCTTAGCCTCCTGGGGACCTGCACCCTGAGCACCCAGCCTACCCCCTGCCATCATGCCCTGCTCAGCTGGCCCATGCCAGGCTGGCTGCACCTCCTGCATCCCCATGCGGGTACAGGCTGGACCCGCATGTACCTGCCTCGCTGTGGATGGCTTGTCTGCCTTCTCGGCCTGGCTCAGCCCCCACCACCTCAGAGCTCCGTGTGATCCAGGGGGAAATTGCTGCTGCTGCTGCTCCTCCTGGGGTATATAGGTTCTGCTGTGTGCCAAGCAAATAAGCACCCACCAGTGTTACCACGTGACCTCATACCCACCATAGGTACTATTCATTAGCATTCTTCTTTTACAGATGAGACACTGAGGCACAGAGAGGTTAAGAGACTTGGCCAAAGACACACAGCCGTCACATGCTGGAACCCATAGTCAGCCTCTTAACCAGCATGCTCAGCTGAGTTGGGCAATGAGGAGGCTGGATTCAGCCACAAAAAAACACCCCCAAGAGGGGAAGTGAACACTTCCAGAAAGAATCATTAGAGACTCCCAAACGTGGAGCTGGCGTGTTCCTTCCGCTCTGGCTTCTGATGTTCTGGCAGGAGCCCTGCCTCTCCACACCAGCCTGGGGCCCCAGCCCCCAGCGGGGAAGAAGGCAGGCAACAGGCTCAGCCCCAGGGCCAGCAGGCTGCATGCTTGGCTGTGAAAACTGCTGCCCAGGAGGGTTTTGCTGAGATCAGGCCCCGCCAAGACCACAGCTTGAAGGCCCCTGCAGAGGGCAGAGGGGGTCAGCCCAGCTACAGCCACAAGACGAGGATCTCATCATTTCCTCCTCGTCCACCGTCACCTCTCCTGCTTCCTTTATATTATCTGACCTCGCCTCTCACTAGAATGTTAGCTTCGTGGGTCCACAGGCCTCATGGTGTGGCTTTTCCATCAGCTGCACCCTGAGCACCTAGAACAGTGCTGAAGGCATCGTTGCAGCTCAGTAGATGTGTACTTAAGAAATGAGCGTGAATAAACGCAACACAGTACACACACACTTTCAAATAGCCTGAGATCTGCAGGTCAGTCTCCAAGTTCACCGGGGCCCTTTTCTGGCCTGCTCTGTACCAAGAAGTGGGCTCCCCGCCAACACCACCCAGGACCTCTTGGCAGGTGGCTGCGGTCACTGCAGCAGTAGATGAAACCCCGGGAGGGCAGAGGGTGGGGGCCAGTTTTTCTCCTCCCCTTGACCAGGCAACACACTTCCTGCCCTCTCTCCAGGCCCAGAGAGGGGGACTGTGTCCTCTCTCATCAGCATCTGGGAACCAGCCCCCCCGACTCCACTCCCATCCTTGCCCCTTCCTTCATCCCTCCAGGACTCAGGAAGCTGAACCTTCATGACAGTCTCTCCATCTATACCATTTGGGATGAAGTGTTGCTGGAATCCCGTCTGATAAACCAGGCAACTCTCCTATTCAATGTATTTGTTGCTGTTTATTTGCTAAGCCGTGTCTGACTCCTTCGCGACCCCATAGACTGTAGCCTGCCAGGCTCCTCTGTCCATGGGATTTCCCAGGCAAGAATACTGGAGTTGGGTTGCCATTTCAATATGTTGGATTGGCCAAAAAGTTTGTTTGGATTTTCCATAACATCTTCCAGAAAAGCACAAAGTTTTTGGCAAACCCATATATGCGTTAGGGTATCTTTTACGTACATACAGTGTGAGCATGAATTTTCTTTCTTCTTTTCTTTAAACATTTTTTTTAAATTTTGCAACTGTACTTTTGAATCATGCTCTTTTAATGACATACAAACTAAAAGTGCCTTGTTTCTACATTGTGATTGTATGTGTGTGTGTTTGCCATCCAGGGAAAACTTTTATTATAATTGTATAAAATTTAGAGTTATGTAAAAAACAATGCTTTCAACAAGACAGAAAAATTTTTTAAATGACAAAATAAGAAAAAAATTATTGCAAAATGCTAACTCTCCAAAATTAACCTATGAATTTAGGACTAACCTAATAAAAATATGTTAAGCTTGAATTGAGTGTCATTTAGGGTTTTTCCCCAATTGGTTTTAAAAAATTAATCAAAATTTATTCAGATAGATGTTACTTATACAAACTTCTATGGCATACAAAATCATCTTTATTGTTTTAAGTATATCCGTGTTAAACTTAAGTGATGATCAGAATAATAATGGGCCTTTTTATTTAAATCAAAATACTATGGCAATACTTATTCTAGAGGGTTGGATGCTGTGAAAATGATATTCTAATGCACGTGTCTGTGCTAAGGCACTTCAGGCATGTCCGACTCTTTGTGACCCCATGCACTGCAGCCGGCCAGACTCCTCTGTCCAGGGGATTCTCCAGGCAAGAGTACTGGAGTGGGTTGCCATGCCCTCCTCCAGGGGATCTTCCTGACCCAGGGATTCAACCTGCATCTCCTGCACCGCAGGTGGTTTCTCTACCGCTGAGCCACCAGGAAAGCTCAATATACGCAAGAATTCTGTTAAGAATATACGAAGAAAAGGAGTTAATAAGAATTATATTACATAAATCTTTATTTTAAAATACTAGAATATCTCCTTAAATAAGAGCAACTGTGGCATCAGTTAAATAGCAGTCACTAAACTAAAAAGAGAAACATCAAAATTACTTTAAAGGGAAAGCATATGCAGATGCTGAGCTGTGGTTATGAGGATTCAGAACCTGGCTTCTGGGGAGGCTGAGTCAAACCTGCAGGTGACTTCAGATCCCAGACCCCTCACCGCATGACCATCCTGCTCCCTGGGGAGCCTGAGGACCTGGGGGGTGCCCTGACCCTTTGGGGCCTCTGTGGGCTGCGGGCGGAGCAGCAGGAGCGTGAGGGCCCCTTGGGAAAGGCTGGAACCTGCAGTGGAGCTTGGCCAGCGTCTGCCTCATGCGGTCACTTTCTCTCCTTAGCTCCTTGAGCCTGCTCTGGGTGGACACAGCTGCCATCCCCAGTGCTCGAGCTCGCTTCTCATGGGCACAGATCTGCTTTTGATGGTAGCAGTTTGTTCTCATCAGTTCTTTGCCCAGGTCCTCCGCCATCCTCTTATAGAGGTCACGATCCTCGCTCAAAGATTTCACAGCTTTACACACGCTGCCAAGCTTCTTCTCCATGTTTAAGCAGCTCAGTTCCTCCTCAAGACATCTTTTCTGAAGTTGTGCTATGTGATCTTCAAACGTTTGGGGCAGAACTTGAAGCTTCAGCCTTAGCCGCCGAATCTCTCTTTCCAGCTGTGAATTCTCACCCAGCAGAGATGCTTCTTCTGCTTCAAGACTTGATATCTGTCCTGAAAGCTCTTCATTGCTTTGTCTTTCTTCCCACAGTGGCTGGGCTATTTCTTTAGGACTCCAAAGGGACCCACTGAAGTCAGCGTCACCAATGACACCTTTCCTATCAGCTTCTGACCGACGGATGGATGGAGTACCATATTCTGCTTCCTTCTTTCGTGGGACCCTGGGGTTCCCATCATCCATGTAATGTCCGAGCGGCTCAAGCAAGGTAGTAATCTTACCATTCAGGACTTGTCCCATCTGTGACTTGGACTGCTCCAACCTTTCTTCCTCCTTCATTTTCTGGACTCTCATCTGCCATCTAGCAATTTCTTGGGCGAGCAGAACTGAACCTTCTGGAAAATGAGTGGTCTTCTTTGAATCATCCATTTTCGTCTGAGGTTGGGCCCCACTCTTCCTTGATGCTTTTGAGATGGGTTTCCCATCGGTCACTTGGGAAAACCGAGGAGGCTGACTCTCTCGTCCCATTTTCAGCAAGTCATCATTGTCCCGAAATGAGGACTTGCTCCGCATTGCACTCATGGCCGACTGACCTAGGGTTTGTAACCTGGGAGGACTAGCCTCCAGCCCAGGGGACCTGAGGGCTTCCTCAGCTTGTGCCATTGGTCCAGCATTCTCATCCTCACCGCATGGTCCACAGACTTCATCGTGGGCAGAACTCTTTTGGCCCAGCAACTTCGCACTCTTTGAAGTGTATCGCCTCTTCACTATCACAACTATCATCACAGCACATACCAGGATCTCCCAGAGAAAGGCAGGGGGACCCGGGACGTTAGTCAAGCTTTCCGAAACCACCAGGAGAACACCCTGCAGGTGCTCCAGGATCAACCGGAAAGTGGATCCGGAGGCAGGCAGCAGGCTTTCCATGGCTTCACAGCTCAACCTCTGAGAGCCAGTGGTCATGTGAGCCACAACTGACTGCTCAGAACCCTGCGGATGTCCTGTCTCCAAGGTAGCGATCACTCTGGAATCAGTTGGGTTGGGGGAGGGGGAGGCACCAGCCAGGTTCTAGGAAACAGTTCCCCCTAAGTGCTCTGAAACAGGAAGAGATCTTGTTTATGCAGGTCCTGGGGGGGTGGTAGGGTCTGATCGGAGCCTGGAGGTGGGCCACTCTAGGCCCTGCCTGGACCTACAGCAAGCCCAGCGGCTCCAAGCAGGGCCAGGTGTGTCTTTTTCTATATACAAGAGCACACTGGGGCAGGTGGGTGGGGCTCTGTCCCCAAGTAAAGCCTATTCTCCTCATTTAAAGTTTTATGCAGGGCAGCCTGGTCCTGCCCCCTAAAGATCCCAGCGGTCTCCCTTTTCTGTGGCTCCCTCTCTCCTTTATCTGTGGTCACTGTGGATGGACAGGCAGGGCCACCAGCTCAAAAGGTGTCCCCCAAGGTATTAACAAAAAGTCCAATCCTAACAGCTCAGGGGGAATCAGTTGCAACTGGCAGGATCTTATGAGGTCAAAGATTTCCTTTGGAATCAGTTTTGGGCAACCCAAGTGTTCCTGGGAGGGGTGGGTAGGGGGAAATGACTCAACGCCAGGAGTCACACAGTGACTGGAAGTCTTCATTTTCTTCTTTCACCAAAGTGGCCCCGGAAGTCTCCAATCCACTGAATCCTCTTCAGAAGTGAACCTCTGAGGAGAGAGGAGCCCTCCTTCTGGCTGAATTGCTCCCTTTTGTTTCATTAAACCACATCTCACCCGCCTAACATCTCTCTGGAAGACCAGAGAAGGGACTCAGATTCCCCTTGTGTATCCCTGGGACTGTCATGAGCCTCTTGTCCCCAGCCCCTCTGTCCAAGAGGGACCCAACAGAACTATCAGCAGAGGCCAGTCTGGGGGTCCTGATGGGGGTCACAGGGTGCTCAGTTCTCAGGGGCTGCATGGATGGACAGAGGCGAGGCTCCGAGCAGGCTTGGCAATGGGGGGAGGAGAGGGCCAAGTGCTCAGAGTGAGTGTTGTTTCATTTAAAAAATTTTTAATTTAACTATTTTAAAAAAGCAGATTCAAGATCAAAGAAAAATTGAGCAGAAAGTATATAGATTTTACATATATGCCTTTGTCTCCCTGCAAAGTGTCCCCTACTATTGATATCTTCTATTGGTGTGGCACATTTGTGCAACTGGTGAACAAACTGATTTATTATTATTGACTACAGTCCACTGTTTACGTCAGGGTTCACTCCTTGTCCTGTACAGTTCTATAAGTTTTGCCAAACGGGTAATGCCTTGTTTCCACCAATATAGCATCATCTACAGTAGTGTCACAGCCCTAAAAATCCACTGTCCCCCACTTATTCATTCCTCTTCTCTCCTCTGGAACTCGTCGAAACCACTGATTACTTCCTTGCTCTCAAGTCTGCTTTGTCTGATATTTTTATAGCTACTCTTGGCTTTCTTTTAATTAATGTAAGCACAGTATATCTTCCTTTATACATTTCGTTGTTGTTTAGTTGCCAAGTCATGTCCAACTCTACAATCCCATGGACTGTCCATGGATAGAGCCCACCAGCCTCCTCTATCCATGGGATTTCCCAGGCAAGAATACTGGAGTGGGTGGCCATTTCCTTTTCCCTTCTCCAGGGGATCTTCCTGACCCACGGATCGAACCTGCATCTCCTGCATTGGCAGGTGAATTCTTAACCACTGAGCCACCAGGAAAGCCCTTTACTTTTCATCTAATGCCTTTGTTTTTTAAGAGAGTATTTATTTATTTGGCTGCATCGGGTCTTAGTTTCGGCTTGCAGAATATTTATCTGCAGCCTGTGCACTCTTAGTTGTGACACGTGGGATCTAGTTCTCTGACCTGGGATTGAACCCTCACTCCCTGCATTGGGAGTGCAGACTCTTAGCCACTGGACCACCAGGGAAGTCCCTCTAATTATGTCTTTAAAGTAGGTTTAATGTAGACCACACATGGTTGGGTGTTGTTTTTTGATTCACACTAATGATGTCTGTCATTTAATTCGTGTATTTGGACCTTAGATTTTTACATGATTATTGTTATATTTAGGCAAATATATTTGCTGCTATTTTCTGTTCATTGTCTTTTACTACGTTTTGGTCTTTCAATCTTTTTTGCCTTCTCTAGCTTTCACTGAGCATTTTATAGGATCCTATTTTGTCTCCTCTCTTAGCATATCAATTCTACTTCTTTTTAAAAGGTATTTAGCAGTTGCCCTTCAGTTGTAATATACATTTATAGCTCATCTAGGTCCAACTTCAAATAACACTACACCACTTTATGTGTAGTACAAACACCTTAGTAACAGTATTCCCAATTCCTCTTTTCCACCTGTTATAACACTACTGTCCCTCATATCACTTATCCATGAGTTATAATCATATGATACACTGTTGCTATTATCATTTTGAACAAACCCAGGTCTTCCACATTTCAGGCAGATTCTTTACCAGCTGAGTCACACGGGAAGCCCAAGAATACTGGAGTGGGTAGCCTATCCCTTCTCCAGCGGATCTTCCCAACCAAGGAATCAAATCGGGGTCTCCTGCCTCACAGGCGGATTCTTTACTAACTGAGCTATCAGGGAAGCCCGTTAAATCGATCAAGAATAAAAAAATAAAATACTTTATTTTACTTTCATTTATTCCTTCTTAACGCTCTTCCTTTTTTGTGTGGATCTGGATTTCTAACCTATATCATTTTCCCTCCCTCTGAAGAAATTATTTTAACAATACTTACCAGGCAGGTAAGGGTGCAGTAAGTGGCAGCTGTCATTGAACACGCCCGGCCAAGTGTGGGCAAGACGGCCTCACACACAACCGACCAGACACCAGGCATATTTGACAGTCTTCAAAGCAAGCGTCTGAGCACTACACGCATAGCCAATGGCTTCTTTGTGTGGCCCGGTTGTGCATTTATTAATAAAGCAGATGTAAACCCCTTTGGCCAGAGGATGAATCAACTCTTATCAACCACAATAGACTGCTCGCATTTCAAGGCAGAACAAACTCAACTCTTTTTCAATGTCTGCTCTTGACACGAGGCACTGAACTCTACCGTGACTTTATCTGAAGGCAGCCCAAACTTGGCTTTCTCATAAAAAGCAAAGCCAAAAACATTAAATCAAGAGTCTCTGTGACCAAAAAGAGCAGAATATATTCTGTGGGTGGTAATAAGAGGATAAAAGATGGTCAGGGGGACCCAGTCCTGAGACATGATGTGGCAGACTCTGCTGGCTGAATCATCGGTACTCTTTCCGGTTACTTGTTTGCTGGGAAAAAAAGTGTTTTCTGGGGTGAGTGGCTGGGGGCAGGGGCAAGTAGGAACACTCCCCCTACAGGGGGAGTCACAACTGGCCCAGCCTGTCTGGCAATCACCTCCCCCTTGACCAGCTATTGATCTAAGAGTGAGCATGTGACTGACCCAGTGCTGGCCAATGAGACATCAGGAAGGATATACTGAGGACTTTTGGGAAAGTTATTTCAGTTCAGTTAAGTGGCTCAGTCGTGTCCGACTCTTTGTGACCCATGGACAGCAGCATGCCCGGCTTCCCTGTCCATCACCAACTCTCAGAGCTTGCTCAAACTCATGTCCATCACATCGGTGATGCCATCCAACCATCTCATCCTCTGTTGGGAAAGTTATTTACTCCCTGATCAAAAGTGAGGCAGAGAGGGCTCCTCTTCTACCTTGAGGCATTCACCTTCTCTCTTCTGTCCGGTCATTTGTGGGACATCTCCAGTCCCATGTGCCAAGCTTCAAGAGAACAGCGGTGATGTCTTAGTCATAGACTAAGCAACCTCCAGTTCCTGATTCAGGTGAGATGAACAAATCATGAGGTATCACAGACCTGTGCAACACATGTCTGGGGTTTGAATAAAATTATTCTGCAGTTGTAATCCTTGGTTGGGGCCGATTTTGCCCCACCCACACCCCCAGGAGATGTTTGGCAATGTCTGGAGATGTTTTTGGTTGCCATGACTGGTGGAGGGGACGGACACTGCGCATCTGGTGAGGAGAGGCCAGGGATGCTGCCAAGTGCCCTGCAATGCATGGGACCAACCCCACAACAAAGAGTGATCCAACCAGAACATCAATAGTGCCCAGGCTGAGAAACTCTCCTCTGTAGACAATCAACTAGCAAGGCTTCCTCTTGACTGTCAAGAGGAGATAAATATTTGAAAGCAAACATTTTTCTAAAGGGTGGAATCTTTTTTTAATTGAAGCTTGTAATATTGTGTTAGTATCAAATGTACAGCAAAGTGATCTGTATGTCTATCTATCTGTCTATATATATGACATCTAAAAAATGATACAAATGGACTTACTTATAAAACAGAGTCACAGATGTAGAAAACAAGCTAACTAACTAACTAAATACATATATATATATATGGCTTCCCAAGTGGCTCAGTGGGTAAAGAATCTGCCTGCAATGCAGGAGACACAGGAGATGCAGGTTTGATCCCTGGGTCAGAAAGATCCCCTGGGGGAGGGGATGAAAACCCACTCCAGTATTCTTGCCTGGACAGAGGAGTCTGGCAGGCTACAATCTGTGGGTCACAAAGAGTCAGACCCAACTGAAGCAACTGAGTGTGCACATATAGTCTATAGTATACAGATTATATACATACAGTATATAGTAATGTGTATCTATTAATCCTAGACTTTTGTTTTTTTCCTTCCCCCTTACCTTCCCCTTGGGTAACCATAAGTTTGCCTCTATGTCTGTGAGTCTGTTTTTGTTTTGTAAGTTCATTTGTACTATTTTTTAGATTCCACATATAATTGACATCATACTAGTCTTGTCTGTCTGAGTTATTTCACTTAATACGATAATAACCTCTAGGTTCATCCATGAGGCTGCAAATGGCAATAAATCATTCTTTCTTATGGCTGAGTTATATTCCTAAAGGGAGAGATCTTAAGGCACTAGACCCCAGACCGT